CCAGAGAAGGAAGGATGGAAAGAAAGGCTGACAAAGCAGCTCAGAGTCACAAATTCTGAATTCTGTCAAGTGCTTTGAAGGATATTTGGATGAAGAATTTAAAAGGTAGCAGGATCAATATTTCAGTGCTTCTAATATATGGAGAGCAAATCTGCAGGGTGCTTCAGACCCAATACAGCACTTAGGCAGAGAATCCACAAAAGCCTTGCAGCCTTCCTGAAAAAGTCTTTTCCCTAGGTGAATACCCAGTAACACGGGACAAATTTTATATGGATAGCTGGGTTTTTTTAAAATTCACAGTATGCTTCCACTCCTACAATACCTGTCTCTCAACCACCATTGGGTCAGCTTTTTCCCCCCCACCCACTGATCTCAATACATTTACTTTGTAAGAGTCCAGAACAGAGTCATTTGCCATGGTATATTGTATCAAAGTTTGGTGCTTGCATGCCTTACCATCTGGAGAACCTCTCAGGCACAAATATCACACACGGCATTTTTGTCAGCCTCATAATCCCCTTTCTCTCAGAATTTAGCATCACAGAACTACAGATTTCATTGGTTAGCCCCCTGATCTGTTCTCATCTTGGTCCAGATGTTCACACTGATCTGCTCCCTCATAACATGTGTGTTTTGCTCAAGGCAACTTTCTCTCTCCCTCTCTGAACCCAAATACACTCCATGTTTCTGCCAGACTGTGCTTCTATTGTCTTCATGATTTCCCGTCTCTATCACAAGAGAGTTTATCTGCAGAGGGAACCGCACACAAAACTTCAGAGTTTTAGGTTTTACTTTTGTAAATCTTGATTCTTACAGCCATCATTTCTATGTTTTATGTATCCATTTAAATCTTTATATGTTCAAGGCTCTCCTAATTTGTGACCACAGATATCTGCCCAAACCTGTTCTCTGCTTGTTCAGATTCCCACCACACTCTGTAAAGTGGAGAGTAAACACACCCCACAGTTTCTATGGGTAATGACCCACAGTTTCCATGGGTCTATGTACCCACTTTTTCCCTTGGTTTTTCATCCCAAGTCCAAGAGGGGAATGAAAACCTCCTTTATGGATTTGGAAAAGTTGTGTTTTTAACATGGAAATGTTTACTCCATAGGTGATTTGAGCATTGGACTATGACTCTGGAAACATTCAATTCCCCACTTGGCCATGAAAACCCACTGGGTGACCTTGGGCTAGTCACACACTCTCAGCCTCAAAGAAGGCAAAGGCAAATCTCTGAACAAATCTTGCCCAAAAACCTATGATAGGTTCACTTTAGGGTTGCCATAAATTGGAAATTTATGAGGGCACACAACACACAGAGAGAGATGCTATCTACTTAGTACATACTGTATTTTGAACTATAAAAGTCTAGGAGAGGTCAATGGGCCCCTGATGCTTCCCAGTTCAATAACTGTGTGATAAAAGCTCTTTGATTCTGCTTGTCTATTATTGACAAGCACTTCTTTTGTTATAAAGGCCAAGTTATTTCAAACATTATACAAATGTTTAAACAAGTATGACACTGGATGCATTTATTTTGGGAAAAGGTAGTACATTTTCAGGGACAAAAAGCAGCCAAATCAAAACTGGTTTTGGGGCCGTTATCTGTCATCAGTTTTTCAAATTAACAACAAGGGATTGTTGAAATTCATGATATGCATGGTGGACAACCAGGAAGTGACTATTAACAAGTTTATGTTCTACTAAATATCAAACAAAAGGATTGGTTTCATTTAACTTAGCTATGTATTTCTCTATAAAATTGACACATTGTCTACAATAATAAATTACATGATGCATATATTTGTCTTTAGGAAGGACTCACACCTGTGAAAACAGGACTTCATTCAGTCTATATGAAAG